GAGGGGCGGGCTTCCGATGACCGCAATGCTGAACGGGCAGTGTGCACGTGCGCACACCGGCCCGTGCGGCATTGATCTTACCATCATGCTAACAACCAGCCGAAAATCGTACGATTCTCGGCTGGTTTTCTAGCATACTCCGAGGGGCGGGCTTCCGATGACCGCAATGCTGAACGGGCAGTGTGCACGTGCGCACACCGGCCCGTGCGGCATTGATCTTACCATCATGCTAACAACCAGCCGAAAATCGTACGATTCTCGGCTGGTTTTCTAGCATACTCCGAGGGGCGGGCTTCCGATGACCGCAATGCTGAACGGGCAGTGTGCGCGTGCGCACACCGGCCCGTGCGGCATTGATCTTACGATCATGCTAACAACCAGCCGAAAATCGTACGATTCTGGGCTGGTTTTCTAGCATACTCCTTAGACAAAAGACGTGCGACCGCACAGTAAAAACGGTCGCACGCCTTCCATACACTTTGCGATTATCGTACGATCGCGGGATTTCCAGCGATTATCGTGCGATAATCGCACAGTGTATGGGCACCTTTACAGAGCTCCGGCCGGAGCAGCTCTGCGGGCTGCATCCGACAGAGATGCAGACCGTGAAGCTGCTCCTGTCAGCTCCGGCCGGAGCTCTGTGACTGTGTGCCCGACTTGTCAGCTGGCTGCGGGCCACATAGTACCGGCTCGCGGGCCGGTACTTTGAGACCCCTGTTCTAAATACATGCGTATTCTTAGTTGACTCTTAGTTGACTTAGTTGTTTTGCTTTGTGTATTTCTTCCAGATCTGTGAAGTAATCTAGTGTGAAACTTGACCTCTGTATCGGAGCTTCCTGTATTAAAGACTGGTCATTGCTGATCTCTCTTTTGTGCATGGTGACTGATCTTGTATCCACCCACCTCCTGTAGTTTTCTGCAGGCAGCCTGTAGTGGGTGGTCCTGTTAGTCCCTCTCATATCTCTGCTCTCTACACAGATTAAGGCCTTGTTCACACCAAGCGCGGAGCAGGTGCAGAGCAGATCAGTTGCAGACCGGATCAAAACTGCGTCCAATGTATTCCAAAGGTATTTT